GAAATCCGGACGTATGGTAACCCTACGTTAATCCTCCCACAATTTCCTTCACGTGCCCAGAAAGGACAGTCAAGTTCTCCCACAATGTACTGGGAAAGAATTCATAGAGTGGCTCAGCTGACTGGAGCATAAAGAACCAGGGGATATACCCTGAGAAGTCTTTGTGCCACACAAGGAACTGCAGTTGCTTCAAATATTCTTTCACACTGTGGCTGTTCTCACTTGAGCTAGGCTGACACCAGAGAAATAAATCAAGTTAACTCTACAGTGAAGACATACCATTAGAGAGTATGTAGTAGAGCAGGGAATTAACCACCGATCTCCTGAATTTCAGGTATCCAAGTGGCCCCCACACTTCTCTCCCAGGCTAGTAGGGCATTGGCAGGGATTTCCCTACACCCCTCTGAACTTCCCCATCTCCTCCTCCCCTCCCCAGTGGTCAACTAGTTACATGCAGTATACCAACATGGTATCTGAAGGTTCAAGTGGCGTATCTACATCCAAACAGCCCAAAGCACAAATACAGCTATCTACTGAAGAAACAGTGTCCCCCACAGCCTAAAGGCAGTTCCTGATATTTGTCAGTCAAACTTTTCCCATTTACTGAAGTTAGATGCACCTATAGCCATCTTTTCTCTCTCATAAAAAGAAAGCTTACAAAGAAGGAAAGCTTCCCTCTGCTACAATTGGTAAAACTGGAGGAACTTGGTTTACTAAACTGATCAGCAAAGCCAGTGCTGACAAACTATGTGAAAAGGCTGCAAAACACAAAGCCTCTGGACTGCATTGACATGCAGAAAGCCTTATAAGCCAGTCACTGTCAAAGGCAATTTTAGAAATACTTAATGAGGTTGTTAAGAATGCTGAAGACACAATACAGATTATGCGAACAAACATGGCTGTCACATCATACTTTCTATGTAAGCAAGAGACACCACACATTACAAACTGGAGGTCAATGTTAAGTGCATTGTCACTGATTAACCCTGAAGTTGGACACTGATTCCGAACATGACCGGCAAATGCTCACGGTCTTTCTGCAAGAAACTCAGCTGACTAGTTAGAAGCAACAGTGAAGGACTCAGCAGTTGAAAAAGTGAAGAACTCTCTCATCACAATCAACAAAAATTGCATACATGGCTGATGATGCCAATTTGCATTGGTGCATTCAAGTATTAAGTCATTATGTATGTTATCTTGATGTCAGTGGTAGGCTAGTAGATGCATTTCTAGATATTCAGGTTATTGAAGACACATAGGTGGTATCTGTGACAGGCCACATCTTAGAAGAGTTAAATGCTTGCAAACTGGACCCCAAACTAGGGTGACCAGATGTCCCGATTTTATAGGGACAGTCCTGATATTTGGGGATTTTTAAAATATGGGCTCCTATTACCCCCCCCAACCCTGTCCTGATTTTTCACACTTGCTGTCTGCTCACCCTACTCCAAACAGATGGCTGCTTGTGCATTTGAAGGACCTGCAAACTTCTCTGGAAGACATGGTGGAGTACAAGCTTTATTCAGAGAATAGTGTAACACTAATCTCTCCTATACACACTGCAGAGGCAATTTACTCCAAACTAGCATGAGCTGCAGAATTTTCAAAAGACACTAAACGCTATAAATATAATGTCTGTGTTATACTTTTTTCAAAAAGAGTCCAAAAAGACTGAACATCTTGGAAAAAATAGAAGATGCCCTGGGACTGAAGTTCAAATTAGACCAAGCTGAGAAAACCTGCTGGCTCTCTCATGAGCAATCCTTGGCTGTTGCCTTAAAATTATCACAACCATTATTACTGGCTTTGGAAAGTATTTACCAAGATGGGACAGATCTAAGCCGTGAGGCTGGTAGACTACATTTGCTACTACATTTAGAGAAGACAAATTGCCATTTTCTCTCATGTAAGCCTATTGTTGAAACCACTTTGGTCATTAAACAATGCCATCCAGGCATCTGCTACAACATTAGTAGAACTTTGTCCATCAGTAGGAGTTACACGTGGATCAGAGAGATATCCATTGAAAACGTACTTGGAGAATGTCACTTGTGCCTCAGTGAGAATACCAGATTCAGGACAAGTTGCTGATAAATAGGGCAGACTCACCCCTAAACAGGTGGTTATTCTTCCATAAGATATACCAAATCAGTAACAAAAGTAAACTTCTGTCTCGTCACAATGGGTAACAAAAAGTCAGACATGTAGTCTCCTTAGGTATCCCAGCCCTTGTTTCAACACCCAGATACTAGACTTAATGATGAGTGGTTATTTAAAACCAAATTGAATCAAATAAAGGGTTCTTCTGATCCCAAAGGACCAGCCACATCCCAGGTCAATGTATAACTCACATCACAGGAGCTGGCTTTCTGATTTCCCCAGGGGTGCTCTGCCCCCAGCCCTGTCCCCAGTCCTGTCCCCACTTCACCCCTTCCCCCAAGACCCCACTCCAGCCCCAATTCTTCCCACCCCAGCTCTGTCCCTTCCCGCCCGGCCTCTTCCTGCTCCCCTTCTCCCTCTCACCCTTGTGCCTCCTGCCCGCCTCTGAACAGCTGATAAGCAGTGGGCGGCAGGGCCCAGAGCACCTACAAAATCAGTGCCTATGACTTAAATCTTACACAATAATCACGCTGTTTCCAAACCTTTAGTATGTAATATGTAAAGGTTTGTTTATAAGAGAAAAGAAAAGAGTGAATTAAAATGGTCAAAGGAATCAAATACATACAGTAATTGCAAAGTTTCTTGTATCAGGTTTGAAACAGTGATGGAATAAAATTGCTGACTTATATTCTCTCTGGTAACATTGTTAAGGTTGGAAGGTCCTCAGTCCATTGGTTTTGATGCTCCTGTTAGTGTAAGCCCATACTCCAGAGATCAGAGCAGGAAAGAGGCCAAATGGAGACGTTTCTAGGGCCTTTTATAGCTTCTCTGTTGTGGAGGGAAACTCATTGTTCCAAGCAAAGCCCCCAGCACAGTTTGTGGAAAAGTACAGGCACAAGATGGAGTCCAGTGTCACATGAGCTGGTCACATGCCCTTGAATGCGTCGATGAGTCATAGCCAGGGGAATTACCCATATTCTGGCTAACGTCCACAGGAAAGTCCATTAGGTGGGGATAAGCTTCTTCCATGACCCATTGTTTTCCTTAATGGTCCATCAATCTGAACGGTTCACTCACAATGTGCTGGCTAGACTGGATGTAAACTACCTTGTGGATGTTACCTCAGAAGCAAACACATTTGAAATAAAGTTATATAGTCAATATTCATAACTTCAGATGTAACAATGATACATGCATACAAATAGCATAGTCATTCAACAAATCATAACTTTTCCATTGACACCTTACATGACATACTTACACAAGATTTGTTGCAATTATATAACAGTGGTAGCAACAATGATATACATGGTCATATTTTGTTCATAACACATCACAGAGAAGCAAAGATGCCAGTCCAGAAGTTGACTAATGGAGGCACTTGTATTCATTTAAGGATTCAATACAAAAACCAGCGTTTGTTAAGCCAGCAGAAAATGTACACAGACTTGATTCTTGTAAATCTACAACAGTGACTTCTAGATTCTGCTCAACCTCTATGTAGCTTTTACAGTGGGTATTCACCCACGAAAGCTTATGCTCCAATACATCTGTTAGTCTATAAGGTGCCACAGGACTCTTTGTTGCTTTTTACAGATCCAGACTAACACGGCTACCCCTCTGATACTTTTACAGTTGCGTGTCTTATAAAATACTGACAGTTGAGTGGAGTGAGGCATTACCAGCAATGGGGTTGCCATGTGATCAGGACAAAATAGAGAATTTGAACACAGAGTGGAATGTCATCTGACCAATGAATGAAAATTTGACTTCAACTTCTTTTTTATCACTAATGGCTCGACCTGATCTTTGCTGGGAATAGGAAAATAGAAATTCATTTCTTGCCACTCCCAGTCACAACAGCTATAGTTGAGCATTCTTTTTTGGTACTGAATAGAATTTTGTGTTCTGAAAGAAGTCACCATCTGCCTGATCATGTGAATGAACTAATGAGCATATGAATTGAAGGACTGGAAGTACTGGACATGTGAGAAGCCACCAAAGATGAACGCACTGCATTCGAGAAGTTCATTAACAGAGTTGTACAAAATTACAACAAGAAACCAAGAAGGGTGCAGATGTAGTGCTCCATTAAAAGGCTTTAATTTGAGTGATGATTTTAAAACATGAATTATATCTAATAAAATAGTCATGAAACATTTTTCAGTTTTTACTATGGTGCGATACAGCCCACCTTCATCCTCAGGTCTCATCCCTTGGCCCTCACCCCCCTGTAAATGCAAACACCCTCTCCAAATTCAATTCCTGGGGAAAACCCTGGTTCTAACTGCCTACCAGAATGGACCCTGCAGGCAGAATATTCTCAGAGCCTGCCTAACTCTGGACAAAATGAGGCAGGGAGAGAGAAAGAGAAGGAGCACAAATGGGGATGGAGGTGGTGGCCTCCCTTATAACCTTTAGCCCAGTGATTAGCTATTCATACCGGGGGTTCAACTTGCCCTCTCTGCCTGATGCAGAAAAGGGATTTGAATTTAGGTTTCCTTCCTCTTAGTAGAGTGCCTCTAACATTATAGTCTAGTGTCTGTCTCATGCTCTCTCCAATCCAATGCATATTTAATTATCTATCTACAATGGAACAGCTTCAACAGGAGAGACTGAGGCAGCCTCACACCAGGATATCCCAGAGCCCAAGGAAACCGAAATTCAGATCCCTTCTCCGCATCAGGCAAAGGGGGGAAAATATTAAATCGAGGCCTCCCACATCCTGGGTTAGCACTGAAGTCCCTGGGCTAAAGGCTGTAAAGGGGGGGGATGGGTGCTCCAATTTCCCCACTGTTTCTTGTAAAAAATAGCTTAGATACCCAACAGCATTAAAGGCTCCATAGCTGAGAATCCCAAACAGAGATCGGTACTTGCCTGTGGCCTGGATTTAGGTGCCCAATTCCCTGAGGGGTGGGGTTTAGACCATGGCACTCTTCTCAGCCTTTCCTACTGGCTTAGGTCAGTGGTGTGTAAACTGGGGGGCACAAGAGCTTCTCTGTGGGGGCTTGAAGAAACTGGGATCCTGTGGGGCCCGCAGGACCCTCTGCCATAATAGAGGGAGCAGGATAACAATAGAGTGGGCATTGCAGGGCAGAACAGGCGTGGGATTAAAAAAAAAATAGCCCTCCCACGCTGCAAACAACACGAGTACCCCAGGCAGCAGCTGCTGCCCTCCGGCTGCCCAGCTCTGAAGGCAGCACCGCAGCCAGCAGCAGCACAGAAGGGATTACTTCAGATTACAAGTAATGGGGAGGGAGGCATGACAAATTCTGTGAATGGTAAGTGGGCATGACTGGAAAAGTTTGCACACCATCAGTTTAGGTGACACCCTACTCAGTACGTTTGCTTTTGTGGACCCCATCTGTAGCACCTAACTCTCCCCATGTGTTGCACACGGAGCCTGGGTGCCTAATGGATACAAGTGGGTGGCAAAGCACTGAAGTCCCTTTGTGGATCTGGGCCCTATTTCTTCTTTCATCCCAGACCTCTTGAATTCTCTGCAATTGTAATATGGTTCCAATTGTTATTAGCAGCTATTTTTTAAACTGTATTTAGAAGCCTTGTGTATGTCACCTGAAGAAATGGCAATACAGAATAGGAGTAAAATTCATCTCTGTGCAGAGGGCCAGTACAAGGCTCAGGGCACCATTTAAGTGGGACAGAGTTTTCACAGGGATGAATTTCACCTTAGAAAGTTTTAGGCCTAATAGCCCATATTTAATGAAAAATGTATACATTTCTTATATCCTTCTTTCGAACCCTAGTGTATTAGCTTTGTCATACTGTCTTATTTAAAAGGCATAATGCTGATGAAACAAATATTTGTGGGTGAAAAATGGTCTGTGTATGTTGTTTAGAAAGAATTACAAAGATTTCTACTTCCCATGGGTGAAACACTATCAAACTCACAGCAATATATGACCGTCTTCATCTCACATTGGATAACTGAAACTATATTCTAGCACATACCAAGTGACAAGGGTAAGTTCATCTCCACTCACTTTCACAGTGATCTCCATTACAGTCTGTATTTATAGCCAACGAGTCATGGTTGACCTTGGCCAGTTGAAGCCCCAATTTTTGCATTTTCAAAGCTGACCTTTCCATGTTGTGGCAAATCAACCACAATCACTTCACACCTTATACAATCTGCTGTCTATTTGTATTTATTGTGCTTTAATAAGCATTGCAACCTGTGTTTCTAAGTTCTGCTTTAAAAACCACCACCGGCTTTTCCCTGCTGAGCGTAATAAAATCCACAATGGGGATTTAAAGGAAATGAGAAAAAAAAAAATCAGAAGAGAACACAAATAATGGTTGAAAGTATAAACACATTTGTTAACTGCTGTTCCTTGCTGTTCCATAATGCTGATGAATTACTCAGCCGTGTTGTGTTGCTAGGTGCCCATCAACCTTCAGAAACTCCACACACTTCAGGCACCGCATGTGTTTTAATTTAGAAAGAAATATTTTAGCACCAGCATGTCAGACACTTTTGTCTTTCTTTAACAGAAAAACAAAACGGTTCCACAAAGGTATTAAAGTGAAACAATTATAGTTCAAGGAGGAGAGGTACAGGTGCGATTCAAAGCAAATTCCAAACGTACAGCATACTCACATTTTCATCTCGCCTTTACTGTTAGTTGTTGTAAAGATAAGTGCTGCTCACTGAAGTGACCGACCTGCAAGAGTAGGACACAATGGAAAATTAGCTTTGTTTAGTTTATGGTTTTTCATAGATTTTTAACAGAGGCAGTGGAAGCTTGCTGGGAATGGTGGTACAGGGGCAGAGGGGGGAAGTTAGGCATAGGTAGCTGTTTCTAACCCAGGCCCAATCACCTGGATTCCTACCTGTTCCCTGACTTTATCCTGGGTGCCGCAACAGCTGCTCCAGACTTTCTGGGTCCTGCTCTCCCCTCAGCCTCCAGCAGTTGCAGGAACCCAACTGGAGTGGCCTGATTGAAATGGTTTGTGACAAGCACAAGGTTGTAAACACAGATCCACTCCACAGTATTCCCATTGCAAGGATTCTAACCCCCATTGCCACCTCCTCTGGGTTCCGCCACTCCTGGATTTTAAGGCCAGAAGGGACATTCTGATCATCTAGTCTGACCTCCTGAACGACACAGCCTATAGAATTTTACTCAGTAATCAAACCCATAATTTTTGGATGAGCTACAGCATCACTTCGCTTGTATTTATGCCATTAGCTCACCCTGTTGGGCATGCATGGAAGGACTAGTCTCAAACTGAACCACTATTAGCCAGCTAGGGCCACATTTTCAAATTTGGGCATAACGAGTTGATCTACAACAACATATGTTCAGACCTGCACATTTCCATGTGCAAAATTGTTATTTGCATGTACAAATCACTGAACTCGGACTACCTATTTGCATACAAACATGACAGAGGGGTGTGTGGGATGGGTTTTACAACTATGTGCCCATAGAAAATACAGTGTCAACAGGCATATTTGCAGTTCTTGCAAACACCCTTATTGTGAGCACATTTGATAGTTTGCCCCCCCCATAAAAATGGCAAATTGCTCCAGTTTCAGGGTGGAATGGTAAAAATTCATCACATCATGAATGTCACATTAAGAGAGCTTGACCTAGTAGATTAAGTGCTACACTAGGATTTGGGAGACTCGGGTGGTATTCCTGGCTCTGCCACTGGTCTGCTGTGCGATTTTGGTCAAGTCACTTTCTCCTCTATGTGCCTCAGTTTCCCCATCTGTAAAATGGGGATGATGATACTGACTTCCTTTGCAAAGTACTTGAGCTCTACTAATGAAGAGTGTGATATAAGTTAAGTAGTAGTTTTATTATTTATTTTTATTATATGCTTGTCCTGACTGTAATTGGCAGTCTAAGGCCCTATGCTAAGGATGCAGATGTGTTAAAGGCAAAGGCACTTTCATTCTAAATTTTTGATTTTAGTCATATTGGCTCAATCCAATGAGCACTTTTGGGCCCCATAATATTATGCACCTCCCCCCCCCAAAAAAAACCACCCAAAGAAACCCCCAAAAAAGATTTTGGTCAGGAAGCACTAAGGAGAGACTACCTCTTGTTGGACCTCAAATTTTCCTGTGCATCCTTTAGCTCCCTGAAGCTTCTAACCCAAGTCCCCTACCCCAATAAGGAGCCGCATCAAAAACTCATTGTACAGGAGATGGGAAAGTAACTGGAAAATGTATTCACTAACTTGTGACTCATGATTCACTTTGTATTTGCGCATCTTTGAGTCTGGTTTTCTGCACAGATTCAGATGACTGGCTGTGTGTGCCCACAGTTAAGCTGCTACAGCTTCACAGTTAACTGCCCCAACTCCTGATTTGCACCTAATAGCTATGCTTCTGGCTGACAAGAAAATATAGTGGACAGTAGCTGGATTGTCACAAAGTTAATGAAAATACATATATTAGAGAGGCGAGTATGTCAATAAAGATGTACTGGAGCACCATGAGAATGAAAACAGTGTAAGAATGCAGAAATGATATAATACTATGCAGTGTTCCACGTGTATTTTAAAGGCAGTAGAAAACTGGCTGACGGTACAGTGCATTATTTGAGAAAAGGCCTGGGCTCATGTAACTAAAGTGTTTTGTAATGAATAAACAAGGCAGCAGAGTTAAGTTTGCCTGTGCTGCCTTCAGTTTGTCAATTTGTGACTTTTGAATGCTTAACTGTATAAACGTTACGTTCTCTTAATATAGCATCCTATAGGTAACAAGAAGTGAATCCTCACAGAGCCATACGAGATGTGGAGAGAGGACACATGCTCTGATGGGTAAAGTAAAAGGCTGAAAGTAAGAACATCTGGATTATGTTCTTTGCTCTGGCAATCAGACTTGGGCAAGTCATTCTGCCACCTTTTATGCACATTGAGTTGTAGCTGCCTCGAGAAAGCTGATTGGTTGCAATGGACTGACTCAGAGTAACACTTAGTTCGTGACCAGCTGCAGTACAAGTGTACCTCATACTAGCCTGTTGCACACTGAGAGTAGGTTTATACTGCAATTAGACACTTGTGACTGGTCTCTGCCAGCTGACTTGTGCTCACGGTGCTTGGGCTCAGGGGCTGTTTAATTGTGGTGTAGTTGTTCAGGCTTGGGCTGGACTCTAGTACCATGTGAGGTGGGAGGGTCCCAGGACTCAGGCTGGATACCTGGGACCCTCCTATCTCATAGGTTCCTAGAGCCCCGGCCCAAACATCTACACCACAATTAAACAGCCCCTGAGCCCGAGGCAGCTGGCACAGGCCAGCCACTGCTTTTTAATTGCAGTGTATATGAACCTTAAGTGTCCGTGTGGCCCCTGTTGGCATGCATTAAAAGTTCCCTAGTGTGCTTTAATCTACTCCTGTTTCAAAGGATTTCCAAGAGTTTCTACTGACCTTGAGAAAAAATATCAAAATGTGTCTCTCTTTTTCTGTGCCTCAGTTTCTCAATCAGTAAAATGGGGATAATAGTTTCTTCAGAAGTGTTACATAGGATAAATTTAATAATGTTTATAAAGCACCTTGAAATCCCCATATAGAAAATCCAATAGTAGCACAGTATTACCTCAAAGTAATGTCAGTAAAAAATGAATGAATATTTATGTCAGTGATGACCTGGGAGATGTCAGATTTTACCCACATCTGAAAGTTGAGATTCTGTCAGATGGGACATGAATTTTTTAAAAAGTCCTACAGAAATATTGGATTTATAAGACATTCACATTAAAAAGGAGCACATTGTTTTGGACAGTTCTCAAAGTACCACAGTGGAGAAGTACATTAACTAAAGACTCACATAGTATGGCAATTTTTAAAGTGTGTATTTTTCTTCTACTTGACAGACTATCCTACCTCTGAAGAATGTTTATATACCCAGGTACTGTAGCGTGCCGACAGGCAGTGAATCAGATTTCTTTGTCTTGCTTTACCAGTGAACATTTTAATCAGTTTTAGAATTAATCTTTTCTTTATAAACCTTGAGGATGACACAAGAGCACTGAAACATGAATGAAGCCAAACAAGTAGAGCAGTTGCAAAATACCTAACATGAAATGTATTTAGAAATATAAGAAAAATAAGGGGATTGGGGGCAGAGCGAACTATATTAAAGGGCCACACTATCAGATTTCACAATCTAAGAGACCCATGAATCCAGCTTAACAGGTGAAAAATAATCATCAAAAGAGTAATCAAATACTCTCGTGAAGGTTTAGATTTTTGCACACATGTAAGCATGAGTAGGGGGTCATGGCCCATGGAGAACAATGTACCTCACACAGTAGTTCCTGCTAGGAGAGCAGTCACCATGGGCATTCTAAGAGTGAAGGGTACTCAACACGAGTTAATATTTCCTTTTTATAGGTCAGTCTGTTGGTGACATCCTGAAACACATTAAACAATGTAAAATTCACAAATGTTGACTCCATCAAAAACAAAATAGGCCATACATTTTTCATTCAAGCAGAAATGCTCTTGTGTGATCTGAGGAAGGAGAAGTGGTCTGCTTCATCTAGTCTCGGGGATGGGGGTATTGCCAGGCAGCTATTCAAAACTGCTATGTTTTGCTTTAGGATCAAATCTGTAAGAGCATCTCTTTTTTTATTTACTCACACTCATATCAGAGGGCTGGATCAAGCTCTTAATGAGGATTTTATGAGGGATCCTTCTTTTCACTGCACCTCAGCTAAATTTTTAAGTCTTGCATCTTTGTATAGTTCCTAGTTAAAAATACATATGCTACTCCCAACTTCAAGCTGGGGGAAAAAATCCACTCTAAGAAGTGCCTTACTGTTACAAAAAAGACACAAAAAATATCAGTGAAGAGAATGGAGAGGGCCAATTTCAGCTCACAGATTGCAGACTAAACCTTTGTCAAGGCTATTGTGCAGAAAAGAACACAGGGGAAGACTGACAAAGACAATACTCATCTGTGCAGAGCAATGCACTTCAATCACCTGTTGGCTAAGATCAAGTGACTGCAGTGGGAATTCAGTATGCACCAGTTATGCATGGACTGACCCTCCATATGTTTTATTGGACATAAAACACTAATCTAACTAAACAAATGGTCCGTATAGTATTTTTGTTCCAACGCAGCATTTTTTAGGATTGAATACATTCCAACATTTACAATAGCTATCCACCCAAACCTCCCTAAAGATTTTTTTAAATTGATTTATGATTAAGAGAATGACTAGTGTTTATGATAGTGTTTCCTGTAAAATAAACGTCCAACATTTGGTTTGTCTCAGTACTAGCAAATTATTAAACCATAATCAAATGATACATTTGCCAAGAATGGCCTTTTTTGGGGGTGTGTGTGAGGATGTGATCAAATCACTCAAGTCTTGTAGTTTGTCGTGACTCATGATGTTTGATTAAAAGAAGCAGTTTATTACCAGTCTAAAGTAGATTAGGGTAGGCAGTGCAGCCTAGTGGATAGAGCGCTAGAGTGGGATTGAGGAGATCTGGCTCAGCCTCTCAGTGACACTGGGTAAGACATTTCCTCTTTCTGTACCTCAGTTTCCATATCTCTAAAATCCTCTGTAAAGTGCTTCGAGATGTACTGACAAAATGCACTCTAGGAGAGCTAGGTATTATTATACATTACAAGCAAAGAGACTTATGGTCCTGCAACTTTAACTCACTCTAATAGTTCTCTTGAATCAATGACACT